GAATATTTTTATAAAACCTATAAATGATTCATTAAATAGATATAAGTTATTGCACATAAATAATACTAAAATATTTTATGTTCAAGTGGTGAGAAACCCATTATTTTCTTTAGATGTCCAAATTCCCTTGAACTCATAAATTTTGTAAAAGAATTTCAAAACTCAATCAAAAAGGTCAACCAGACCGGGTAAATTTCAGTCAAAACCCAATTTTGACCTAGTCAGTATATTTCTATCAAATTAATATGTCCAACCCGGTCAAGGGTCCAGGCTGCCGATTTTTCTGGCCAACCAGTCGGGGCCGGATTTTATAACTATGGTTTAAACTCTTTATAAAAGGAGCTTATACATTGTAATAGTTGGATGTTGAATATTGAATAAAATGATATTTTTCTCCATCTAAATTCTCAATATTCTCCCCCGACTCTTCTCTTCCTCCTTTCTCTTCCTTTTTCTTGTTAATCTCGTCATGTTCAATTGTATTCTACATCTTACCTTCTTTAAGGTCTATGAAAGAAGAGTACCAACAACACAAGCATTTCCATTGAATTTTATTGAGAAGGGCGACAGTATTTGATTGCTCCGACTTTGTTATAATTATTTCTACCTTTGTCTTTCGTTTGGTAATTTTATTCTACTGGATTTTTGCCAAATTAAGTTTTTAACGAAACGGAATTTTTGCAAATATTTATCAATGAGAGAGTTTGTAAAATTATGAGATAATTATTAATGACTATTAATTTAATCTTATCAGTATGCTTAGATAAATCATATTTACTCTAGAAAAGCTCGTTCCATTTGAATTATAACTTTCATTTGAATCCTATAAATATGAGTTGATTATTATAATAAAATTACACACACTTGAGTTTTGACTCTCTTAACTTCTCTCATTCTCTCTTCTTATTATTGTCATTCTCTATTATTTTTCATTTTTTAAAAATCAGGGGCAACTAAGTCTTTTTCTGTGTACTCACAACAGACCTTCTTGATGTAAAATGTCGTTTGTGAGATCAAATTGTATCGATTAATGAAAGATTAAAGATAAGAATGCAACACAAAAGCTTAGGAGATTTGTGTGTGACAATGAACATTGTTTAGAAAATTTAAGCACAATAAAAAATTGTGTCAATATAATTATTCAACTTTTAAATTAAAGAGACGCTTTTGCGTATATTTTTAATTAAACAAAAAATAAATAAATAAATAAAGATAAACATTGAAATTAAAATATAAATTTTTTATTATAAATGTGCTGTCAACGTGTCTAATCCTGACCGAGGTCCACGCATCTTCAGTCAAACCTGATCGTGTAAATAATTGTTTATCACAATCAAAACTCCAAACTCTCACGCTTAGCTTTGAAAATCTGCATGTTGCATTATCCTGAAGTCTTCAGTTTCTCCCTTATAAACAGAGCCAGTCCTTATTTTATGCCATAATATTCGCTTAAGTATCGAAGGGGTTACAGGTCAGGTCAACACTCTTGGTCCTCACGCCTTTGTTTTAGATGTTTCAAGAGCTGTTCGGTGTTCCTTTGTTGCCAGAAGATCGCGAAAATCTCAGTTTGTGCTGGATACTTGAAGTTACATTTTGACATCAATAGTAACCATAACCAACCCCCGAATGGGACGAAAAAAATCCGCCCTGTGAAGAATAAAAAAAAAATTAATTAACTTTGGATATTATTTTAGTTAGTTTGAGTATTATTTGCTTTGAATTTTAAAATATTGAATTTATATTTTAATTAGAAAAAAAAGTCAGGAAATGGGGCAGGCCGCACCCGCCACGTCCCACCCCGGCCTGCGGAGCGCCCCGCTGCCATCCACATAATCATCAATGTATAATCTTCAAAATGACGCCATCTTTGCACACCCAACATTTTCAATATGCAATATTTATACATGCATATGTTATGAACAAAGTCGTTAAAATATATCATATTGAGTTGATCGTCGAATGTCATGTATTAGATATAAAACATATACTTGTGAGGAGGTTTCACATTGACCAATAAATACTACACATCTTAACTATTTAATTTGTCGCTAAATTATTTTTTCGTATTTATTTAAAAACAATTGTTGCTACTATATCTTAATGTCCTTAGGATAATCTTAACAATAGAACTGGGATTTACAATTATGTTGTGATTTAATATATCGATAGCTTAGCTTATAATTAATTATTTATCGAAATTCCCATTATATATATTTCATAATATTTTCTTGTACGTAACGTAACCATACATCAAATATTATCTAACAACTCTTTAATCTGTTCAACAAAGAAAATATTTAATTTCTAAAATGAATTGACAATAGGGTTAAATTCGCTACGGGGAACCTAACTTTGAGCGAAGTCGCAGTCGATTCACTCATCTTTAATTTCATGCAATAAGATAGTCGAACTTTGTGAAATTAAAACTAATGGATAATTCATGTGTGAAAATAAGTTCTGAGTCGTAAGTGTTTAAAAATATATATACACTTTTAAAGATGGTTGATAAACATTGGATAGACGTTGGTCGTCTATTGTTTTAATGTTCACGTCAGCATATTACTTTAGTTAAGCTAACTGGGCAATTGACAAAATGATCAGATTTGTAAGTAAATCGAAGTTGAATGATACTATTACACCAATTTAAAGACGAGTGGCCAAATTTACAAATAAATTAATGTTAAGTACTGTAAAGACTAGTACCCCAACACAATTCCATTCAAAGTTAGATGACCTGTGGTGCATTTAACTCCTTTCCCTGCAAGACATTCTTTGTTTTTTGTATAATAAAAAATTTGAGGCTGAGTGGAATCACAATTAATCATAAGAAACAAACATATGAAAACAAGCTTTGAGATTATAAAATATTACTTTACTTTGATTAAATTAATGATGAATTATTAAAAGAGGAAGTGCATAATTAAAAAGCATGAATTTCATTAATTTAAGATAATTATTGATAGTTGGTTTTATGTTCATTCAGATAGTACTTATTAGTACATATGCTCCACAATTATATATTAATAAAATATAACAATCATTTAACATCCATTCATTTTTCGTACTATCGACAATCAAGTACAAACATGCCAAAGTGACGAAGTCTAATACTAACACATAATTATATCATCTATTATAAAATATAGTTGAATGAGTGCTTCATTGCATGATTTATTTAACGAATTTTGCTATTTGCACACTTCGAACTGTACATTCGAATTTACACCCCCCGCATGGAAGTGGCAGTGCACGTAACTTCTCCCTTAATTAACACATCAATCAAGTGTAGTGACTTGAAAATATTTATGTAACTGATAATATTGTTTTATTCCTCCTTTATATTTATATTTAAATATTATTTTAAAATTATTTGAATTTATAGAATATCGAATTTTCCTCAAATCCTTGAGCATTTTAATTAATTCCGCAAAAAAAAAAAAAAAATTATCATAAAAAGTACTATTCGATAATTTCGTTGAGAAATAGCTATTGTATTATTTTTCTCTACAAAATTTCTTCATTAAAAATGATAGAACATTATTAAATATTAAAATGTTGAAAATTGTGTTTAAAAAGTAAGAAATTTGAATCAAGAAGAAACAGGCTAATGCGGTCTTTTAAACTGGAAATTTCAAGTGAAGCTGTTACTATTTTCTATCAATATATTATTTGTATTTGAACGTTTTCCTTCCTTTCAAGAAAATTTGTACTTTTCGTCCTCAATATTTTCTTTTACTTAATACATAAACATAAAAAAGTATTAAAACCAAAAAAAAAAGGAAAAATTACAAATGAAAGAAATTTTGAAAGTACAAATAAATTACACTTAAATAATTGAATACATATTAACACATGAAAAAAAAAATTAAAACAATTAACAATCTCAAATAATTTTTCATTTTCTTTTAAATTTTATTGCTCCCAATTTTCAATGACATTCGTGTCGAAATCCTAGAAATTTTATTGTTAATATATATTTAATTGTTTTTAAGAGCGATTTCATTTATACTTTTGAAAAATTATGTGGTTCTGTTTTTCATTTTTATTTTTGTTGTGTTAATGTACTCTTTAATGTTTATTTATTTCAAGAGGAGTGTGAATCCTTCATTAAATGGTCGAAATAAAGAGAATAACGAATTTTTGCTACAAAATTAAAATGTTGGGGATAAATTATTTGAAGGAAAGAGATTAAGAATGGATTTCATACCTTATGCAAATCTTGGTGACGAAAAATGCAAATTTTCCTTGCTTTCAAGGTAAAATTTGGACTCATTATGTGTTGCACTATGTGCCACTTTATTAAAAATATTTATTTGACTCTTATGTGACACATAAAGTAGAAGATGTGTTGAAAAAGAGAACATGTTTCATGAATACGAAAGAATTTTATGCTATTTTAATTCACCATTTGAATTGTTTTGACATACATGTATCCTTTCGAAAAAAATTACCACTTAAATCAGATACAATGTCACGTTCAAAGAAAGTTTTCTCATTAGTCGAGAATATGGGTCCACAATTTTAAAAGGTTGGAGATACGAATGCAACAAAGGATAAATTGGAGATCGTCCTTTGTGAACTTACGCCCTTTTCCTAAGTTCTTACTTCAGGTAGGAAACAACAAAACATAATCAGTGGATCAAAATTACAAACAGGAACATAAATATAACCCTAAACCATACAAGTTTATATTCCATAATTTAGAATGAGGAAAAAAAAAAAATTCTAAACCGAATTTTTTTATTAAAATGAGAATAAACATTTTCATTAATCTCAAGATATCATCATCCCTAGAAGTAGAACCAACACTTATGATCTGTTTTGTAACAAAAACATAAGTTCAAAAAAGGGAATCTTAAAAACCCTAAAAAGAGGTAATACTAATCAATTGAACTTCTTGTTAATTACCCGTAAACCAGAATTAAATAATCTGGTCTCAAGGATTATAAAAAAAAGATGCAAAATGCCGGTAAAAATGGCTATTGCATTGTGAAAAAGTATCAAACCCTAGTCTTCTGCAACAGTGGAGTAGTAATAAACGCATGGCGGCGAGAAGCTGATGAAGATTCCTTACAAGAACATTGATCAAACGGCTCAAAAACGGCTTCAGAAATCATCTTGAAAAACTCATCTAGCCCCAACCCACCAAATGTTTCCTCATCTTTTTCCAGATAATTCAATATTTCTCTGAAGAACCCGGATTCGCACGGCAGAACCAGGCCGCCTGAGGTTTGAAAACCGAACTCCTCCTCTGCCTTGTGGAGGAGGCCAACGAATACCGGGAGGTTGAGGAAACGGGTTGGGATTACGAACCTCTGGAGCTCAAGGCCGACGTAGACAGCTAAAGATCCCGGCGGAGGCGTACGGCTGAGGCTTTTGGTCTTCCATCGCTGGACGACTTGTCTGAGGCGTACAATTTGGATTATTTTATTCACTTTCTTGATTGCTGAAGCCATTGTTGAGAAATTTTTAATCTATTTTCAGGGTGTTAGAGAGAGAAGAGAGAGGGAGAGAGTGGAGAGATTCAGTGGTAGTTAAAGACACGGAGATAGTAGTAGCACGTTGGGAGATGAATAAAAATACAAATTCAATTGAGTTTCTTCCTTTTCTCGAATGGCTAAACTAGCCTTACTAGTATACAAGGTCATTTAATCTTGAATCGCTGTCATCTAAATTAATAATATCATCTTTGAATTCACGTCACCTAAATTGATGATGATCATAATTATAGGCTAATTAGCACAAAATGTCACTACTATTCGGCCAAAAAACCTAACAATCACGCACTACCATCAAATTCGAACCAAAATTCGGCCAAATTCAATGGTAGTGCGTGAATGTTGTTTTTTTGGCAGAATTTTGGTTCGAGTTTGATGTATTTTGGGGTTTGATTTTGTGTTGGTACATTAGGGGTTGATGAGGAGATGGTGTTGGTGCAAAAATCAGACAGCCATGGTGGCCTGAAAATGACCGGCAGGCAACGATAAGGTGGGGGTGAGTTTTGGGAAGAAGGTGAAGTTTAATGGGTTATTTGCATTTTTTAAAAAGTTTGGGCCTAAGGTTGCAATTTATTGGATTGTTTTTCTTTTTTTTTCTTTGTGTCTAAATTGAATGGAGGGTAAAATCGTCAAAAAACAGTAAAAAGGATGTTCAGCGCATCAAAACCCCAAAGGTAAGGACATAAATGTCAAGAAATGAAAGGTAGGGATGGTTTCCGAAATTCACCCCAAAGGTAGGGACGTTTTGTGCTAATTAGCCATCATTATAATATAGTTATATAATGTTCATAATAAAATAGTGTTTTTTTTTTCTAAGTAGTTTTTCTTATTAAAGACATCTAATTTTAATCAAACACATAGTGCGAATGGAGAAGATAAGTTTAGACTAATAAGTATTGATATTTATTGGTAGATTAAAGTTGGATAGGCTGTATATGTTTGACATATAATTCCTTTGAATATAATTTTTTTTTTAATATTCAATAAAAGTATTAATAGCAGAAAACCTCC